GCCTATGATTGATTGTTATGTTTATGTTCATGTCATGTTAGGATCTTGAAAGGATCATTTCAGTAAATGGTGGGATTCGAGAAAAAGAGCCATTTTACCTTGAGAAGTTTCATAATGAAGAGGTGCGAATACAATGCTCTCTAATATATTTAATATTATTATAGTTGGTTAGAGTTAATTTGGTTTAAATTTGTATGGCAGCCTGTGTTTGGGAGCTTGCTTGAAGATGGGAATGGCCCACAAAATGCCCTTCTATCTGCAGCAGCAAATTAGGGCTATTATTATTTTTTGTTATTTACAAATTATATTGGTTTATGTATATTAAGGCCTTAAGGTTGAGGAGAGTTTTGAAGATGGTCACAGAATGTATGGTGTAGTATAGTTGTATGGTATAGAGAGAGATAGAGATCTAGTGGCATTATGAAGGCGAGAAGAGGCACTCATTTTCATTTTCCCTAACATTTTATACAGATTTTACTTAACAATTTTGATAATCCTTATGGGCCTTGTTTTCTTCATTTTATCTATGACATGGATATAGCAAATGGAAGGAAGAATAGGTTGATATTATCCCGGAATAAAGTGGGCATTGGGTTTTCTCGTATCCTTTCATTATGAAATCAACTATCTGTGCTAACTAATTGAGTTAGATTTAGATAAAAATGATATAATTTATATGATTCTTATTGATGTTGAACATATCGATGACCTAGATGAAACATTGATTCATGTGTGAGTGCAAAAATGATAAACAGGACCAAAAGAAATCCACCTTCAAACATCCGTTAGTTTTGATCTATCCGACAAAACAAAAGCTCTCAATGGGCCAAAAGCTTCTGACAAATAGCCCAAGGCCGGTTGCAACACATCATTGCCAAATTTGACGGTTTAGACAACTCATTTCCAAATTTTGATTTATTCCATTTTAGTGACATTGTGGATTTCTATTGTTCCACGATTGTTTAGGAGGTTAATTACAGAAAACTAAGAAACTAATCGGTACACTTTACCATATACAAACTACATTAACTTGATGTGATCATACATTCAGTTGAAATGAAAATCAGCATGCAAGCATAATCAAAACGACCAAAAGATGGTTTTAAAAACAAAAAAAGAATACATACGAACAGTTTAATGAACGAAAAGAGAAGGCGTGCTAACGAGTTATGGTCTCTATAAATAAGTCAACATTATCATTCATATCCTTAGATAAGAACTTCATGCAAATCGGGGGGCTGACCTTGGCCAAAGCCAATATAGACTTTGGTACAGACCACAACCCCTCACCACATATCAAACCAGAAGCCACCGCCGGTCCAAAAGCCTCCGAATCTGCTTTGTTCTTGGTCTCCCATATAAAAAGTATGAGACTCCCGAGACACATATCAATGGCGACAGAGGATCCAGTCATGTAGAAAGGAATGGCTATAGCCATTGGAACCGGAATGAACCGGGCCCACTTCTTGGGGGCAATGTCTCGGGCCACATTTATAAGTATCGCAACTGAGAAAAACCCGCAGCAAAGCGACAAACAGTGTTTTGGGAGCGACCCGAATCCTTCAACCCCCAAAATCGCAAGGTTTCTAAACACGGTGGCGGTTGGGGCAGGGTATTCAGACCCTGCAACCCCGAGATCCGGGAAAGCTTGGTAGTAGATCCAGAACACACATGGAGCAATGACACACCCCATTGCGGTTCCAATCACTTGGCTCACAAACATAGACCGGGGTGAAGCCAGGGTCATGTAACCCGTCTTGAAATCCTGGATCAGGTCCGACGCCGTTGACACAATATTCAACATCACACCACAAGCAGCCAGCCCAGCTAAGACACCACCCTGCATCTTCCCAGCCCATTCCCCGATCACAAAAATCGCCAATTTCCCGTAAGTAGATGCCAACGACCAGTCAGTCAGCCCGCACCCATACGCATTACAAAACGCTAATGCAGGGGCAAATGCGTAAATCAAAAGCACGTGGTACCATTTCAGTGGTTTGAATATCCGAGGGAGGGTAACTGTGGCAATTGCAGCTATGCCCAGATACCCTACCACAGCTAACCATGTTGGAATCTGATCCTTCATAAACACCTCTTTTCTACGTTGATCATCGTACGAGATTTCCTTGTCATCGGGGCCCATGGGAAGAACTGCGCATGATTTTTTGTTCTGGATCTGGTTATATAACTTGTGGAAAGTGTTTCCGAGTACTTTCAAAAAGTTGTAGAGTCCATCTCCAAGGATTAGGGCTATGGCAGTGAAAACCTGCAACAACAACATTATTGCTTCGTCATGAAATCAATGGTGAAGAAGAATTAATTACGTACCCTGTAACCCTGGATGCCATGGAAGTTACCGGGCTCGAGACCTGATTCGTACCAGTCGCCTTCTTTGGTCTCGATGATGGGCCACAGGATCCCCCATGAAAGGAATGTACCAAGCAACAAGGAGATATTTATAAGGTATGGGCATATCATCCCTACCCCAATATACATAGTTGAGAAATCAAAGAAAAACCTGAAGAAATTTTTTTTAACCAAAAAGAAACAGTCACAAACATTATTAATTTCTAGAAGTTTGGACACATTCAACATTATTCTTTTGTCTTAAAAATATATCAATACTGATATAGATATACAAGAATAAAAAATTATTACTTTATCAATATTGATCTTTTTAATGGTAAAGAATAAACTTCTTATTATAATTACTATAATTTTTTGATTTTAAACAAGCGTTGAAATTGGTAGTCAGTGTTCCTAGTTTTTTTTTTTTTTTTTTTTTTTTTTTTTTTTTTTTTTTTTTTTTTGTTTCTCATATAAACGACTGTTTAAAAAAACCGTTAGACTGGGTTATCGATATATCTTTCATACACAAAACAAAAGAGTAATTACATGTTATCGTAAGCTTTGAGTCCAAAAACAGGGAAGCTCTGAAAGCCACAATGATCCCCAGAGGTGAAGAACCATTGAAAGAAACTCCATAAGAAGCTGATAGAGAAGAATCTCCCTAATTCCCTCACTTGTTGCCTATCATCAAGAAATTTTTATTAATATATGCATGCCCGTTGCTTTTTCTTCAAGAAATTTTTATTATGTTAGGGATAATATTTTGGATGACTGAGAATTGAAAAGGTCATAAAAACATTGGATCCGGATATTAAAATTAAAAAAGAAAGAAAGAAAGAAAGAAAGAGGTTGATTACTTGGCAAGCTTGGCACCCTGGGGAGTGTGGAAGCTGTTAATGAGGTGAGCAGTTGCAGTTCCACTGGGGTATATGAGCTTGAAGTCAATGATCATGATCTGTAAAATTAAACCATCCATGCATCAAATTAATTAATATCTTTTAAAATTAGTCTTGCTTTTTTGTTATCGTCTCTCATATTGATCAAAGTTACGTAGAAACTATATTGTAGTGTAAACCCATAAGCACTGATCGATTCAAAACATAGAACGTACGTACGTGTGTTTGCTAAAATAGTAATGCTTAATTGGATTTAATTTAATTTACCTTTCTGAGAGGAACGACAGAGCAAAGGCCGATGAAACTAACGATCAACAGAAAACATATCATCCAACCTAAACCCGGGTTCTTCACGTTCATATCTCGTTGACGTGAGTTAGCATCAGATGATTGTGCTGCAACAGTATCACTCATTCCAAATAGATAACTCCCAAATCCACCTGCACCCATGCAACAACGTACAATTAAAACTAATGTGACATATTAGGTAGTATTTAATATGCACTTTTGATAGAAAAATAAGTAATAACGTGTTAGTTGTTGTATAAGTACGTACGTACGTACCACTAAATGCAATCCCACAAGTGGCAACGACACACGTCTGAATAATGGTGTTCTCCTGCCTTGTAAACGTATCATCCTTCAACATTCCAGACTGCTCCAACACCTTTGTCCATGCCTTCACCATGAAAAACCCTAACAAACCCGCAGCTACATTTAGCGATGGGATGATCCCTGTCGTCAGATTCAGCTTCATCACTATAAAACTAAACATGATGCCCAACATCGCACTCACCACAAATGCCCTTAACGTCAACTGCTCCTTCCACGGTGGAATCGCTGTGTCCTTAAACATCATCTCTACCGAATCCATTTCCTTTCCCTTATTTGATTCATCATCGTCTGTTTCCGCTTCAGTATCCAGCAAATATTGCTCGTTGCTTTTTCCCATTTTGTCCCCGATTTCAAGCTCACCACTTTTCTTCATGCACGCCATCTTGACTTTAATTGATGTATATATCACTTCTTCTATATGATTGGATTCATCTTTTGAATGCGTATATATAAGAACAGACCATGATTTCTAGGTGTCGTAATAGAATTTACATTATATGCATGTGCTAATTAGTTTTTTTTTTGTCGATACCGATATTGTCGATTGATATCCAGATTTGGGATGGGTGTCAATGATCTGATTGAAACCTGTCAGAAATGTCTCTCATACCCAAACACCAGATTTGAAGAAAAAAATACAACTTTTATGGACGCAATCTCTCGAACAGCGGAACAAATATATATAGATCCAACAACGTACTGAATAACACGATCAGTGGTTAGCTATGTATATTGAAATCAACGAACAAAGCGAAGACATTACAATGATGCGGTGAGATGAAGAATAATGAGAAAAACTTTGACGTCGTTCCCTTCTCTCTCTCCTCTCTAAAGCTTTTCAACAAAAAATGTGTGAATTAAATTAATTCACTTTTCAATAAAGACCTGTTTCGCAAGTTACAAAGTGCATCCTTGCACTTTGCTTAATAGCTACCTCCGCCTATGCAGTCCAAGAAAGCTTTAACAACCACTTAAGCCCGACAACATTCCTCTATTGCACAACTAGCCCATGATAACATATACAAACATGTTGAATCAGTTTCAAAAAAGCAAGTATTAACTTAGAGGTTACAATAATCATAAGAGAAATTATTTTTATAAAATAACAATTTTGAAAACAATGCTCCCAAGGGAAGACCAATGGACGGAGGTGCGTAGACACAAATCATCGGAGAAGAGAGGAGAGGAAACAAGCTTTTTCGTTTCATACATTCCAGATAGACCAATAAAGACTGAATTCAGAAGAATCTTCATGCCTTTTGGCAGATTATCTAACATCTATTTTGGGGGGGAACAAAACGAAGGCAGGAAATTTTTTTGGATTCATCAGATTCATAGGGGTTGAAGATGCTAAAGTACTGGAATCAAAGCTAAATGGGACGAAGTGCAGGAAGAACACACTGGAGATTAACATTGCCAAGCATGTGAGGAAAATCCCTAGTAAGCCACACAACAACGAAACGGCCATGGCGCTGGCAACGGATTCGTTGATAACCGTTCATATGCCCAGGTCACCGGTACAAACATCTTATCCAGAGTAGCGGGAAACTCAAATGAAGCACACAAACCAATCAAATTGTATGGCGACAGTGATTTGGAAAGGTGGATAAAAAAATCCACCCTAATTGGCGAAGCAAGATCGATGAACCACTTGGATCACATGCCGACGCTTATTTCAATACACAGTGAACATTGTCCAAAAGTGAAATATGCAGGTGGGCTGATGGCACGAATTAGCTTCAATTCCACTGTTAGTGCTGGGAACTTCCTTAGCCAAGAAAATAACGGGAAGCACATCTTTAAATGGCTGAAATGGGGAGATACAGAGGTCACAAAATTTGAACGTGTTGCTTGGGTAAGGATTGTGGGGCTTCCATTAAAGCTGTGGAATGAATCCAACTTCAAGGCAATATTGGCAAAGTACGGGAAGATAGTGGCGCCATGCGACAAAATCCAAGATAGGATGGATTTATCGGTTGCTAAACTAAGCATTCTTACCAGTGAAAAAAGGAAACTCAATGAGATAGTTAACGCAGAGGTAGACGGTAAACCATTCACTGTGGGAGTGGTGGAGTATGAAGATGAACCATGGTTTCCATTCAAATTTGATGATGAAGAGGAACCGTATGAATCACAATCGGATGTCAACTCTTCCTCAGACGAGGACTACGACGGCGAAGATGACAAAGAGTACAGTGATGGGGCAAAATCTGACGCAGACATGAAAGAAAATGAAGTCGAAGAAGGTGAGATTGTGGCAGAGGAGTTCGACGACGAAGATGACAAAGAGTACACATTGACGCTGCTGCTTGTTGGGGCTCAAACAATTTTGGGGTAAGTTGCGTAAACTCGTCTGGGCGTTCCGGAGGTCTTATGAACATATGGGATAGCAATTTATTTACTTCATCGACGATAATTTCCTCTCAAAATTACCTTATAAATATTGGAAATTGGGTGGGTATTCATTAATCTGTAATCTTCGCCAACATTTACGGCTCACAAGCGGTGAAAGAGAAGGCCAGAATTTGGAAAGAATTAAAAGAAATCATAGAAGCAAATGAAGGTGTCTGGGTGCTCGTGGGTGACTTTAATGCCGTTCGAAGGCTGGAAGAACGATTCAATTCCAATTTCTGTCACCACACAGCTCACGATTTTAATGATTTCATTAGAGAAGTTGGGTTAATCGATCCAAAAATGGGAGGATTCCGGTTCACATGCTCCCGAGATGATGATTTGAAGCTTAGTAAACTCGATCGGTTTCTTCTTAGCCCCTGTTTCCTCGACATTTCCCCCACAGCCACTGTCACTTCCCTCCTTCGGGAATTATTAGATCATTGTCCGATCCTATTATCTACTTCTATACCTGATTTTGGGCCACCCCTATTCAGACTGTTTAATTCATGGCTGTTGCGAGACGGATTTGAGAAAGCTTTCATCACGAGTTAGAACAACTTTAAAGGGTTCGGAACACCAGATCAATGCCTTCTAGCCAAATTGAAACATGTTAAGAAAGGACTAAAGGAATGGAGAGCTGCTGACCATTCCAAAGAGGAACTAGAACTATGTAAACAAACACAAGGAGATGATGGAAAAATTAGACCGTGAGGCCGAGTCACGATCACTAACTAAAGTGGAACAAGAAAAAAGAAATAGTTTCAAGATGGAGTCCGAGTTGGAGAAATATAAGATACTGGATATTAAACAAAAATCTAGGATCAAGTGGGCGGTGGATGGTGATGAAAACACACGATTCTTTCATGACTATGTTAATAACAACAATCGAAAAAACAGGATTTAGGGACTAATGATAAATGGCAACTGGTGCACTGATCCAGGGGCAATAAAATCAGAATCCTTTAGATTTTTTTCTGAGAAATTTCAGAAGAAATGACCTTCTAGACCCAAGTTGGTAAGTAGACACTTTAAACGCATTCTGCCATCTGATAATATAATGCTTGAAGCCCCGTTTACCCTGGAGGAAATCAAAGAAGCAATATGGGCATATGGCAATGAGAAAGCCCCTGGTCCTGATGGATTCTCTTTTAAATTCTTTAAAAAATATTGGGATGTGTTACTTGGTGACATTGCTACAGTGGTGAAACATTTTGAGAATTATGGGATAATTGACAAGGTCTGCAACTCGTCATTTATTTCCATGATTCCCATAGTTAAAGACCCAATCGTGCTAAGTGACTTTCGTCCCATCAGCCTCATCGGCTCGATATATAAAACCATTGCGAAAATACTTGCACATCGACTAAAGAAAGTACTGGGTCCTGCATCGATGAGGTATAATCTGCCTATGTGGAAGGACAAAATATACTTGACGGTCCTTTAGTGGGTAATGAAATTTGTGATGGGTTTTGGTCATAAGACATCCTATGTGCTCATACAAACCCTAATGCTTGGATCTAGGTTTCTCTATTGTACATGCTTTGAATCCAAGACTATAAACCCTAATTCTAGCATACATATAATCATATTAACATGAGAATAAGTTTATAGTGTTACCTTGATTGTTATGTAGCAATAACAATCACAAATCTCCTTGAATTGACTTTGGAATGCTTAGAGTCACAAGTGTCACTCCTCTAATGGCTCACAAACACCATAAGCAAATGGAGAAGGTATAAAGAAAGAGGTAAGAGGTTAGAATTCGTATCTAGGACCTCTTGGGAAGGGATACACGAATTCATGGCCCTAGGGGTGTTTATATAGGTGTAGAGATAGGGTTTCAGTCATTATCCTTATCTAGTTGATTATCCATTAAGCAACCAATAAGATAATCCTTGAATCCTTATCATACTCGAATTCTAAGGGATTTACACCTCAAATTCGTTCACCATATATATAAGATAATCCTTACCTTATTTTGTAACTATCACATAATTACAAATCAGCCCCTCTAGTTTAATTAATTACATTTGATCACAAAACTAATTCTTAATTAATTATTGACCAATATTAATTAAACAAATATGATTTCTCCTTTAATATATTATTCTTATAACATATTAATAAATCATATTATCCTCTCTCTCTTTATTCATTTCTCCAATCAAGTTGCTTTGGTGAAGGCAACCCAAAAGGACCATGCACCATCGGGTCAAGTACATACCAAAATAGTTATGGACTTAGACACTAATCCAACAGTCTCCCACTTGGATAAGTCTAACAACTATTCTGCGTATGACTTCAGATCCTGATCTGCAATCGTAGCTTTCCAAAGCCGCTGTCAACTCTGATCATATCAGATACGCGTGTCCTTAGATAAGGGATCATATATTCCTCCATTCTAGATATCGTATGAGATATGATTTCTAATCATTCTCTTTGTACTATATCTCGATTTCCGATTTATGACGACAGACTAACTGAACAAATCAAATTAGCCTAGCCCGGCCGAGCATTTACGTATGTCATCACTAAACCATCGAGGGGCCCAAAGATATCGCTTTTATCCTACTTTGGATAAAAGGAACGGATAAACTTTGATACAATGCTCGCTTGCACTCACTCACCGAATTACACACAACAATATGTTTTATAACACCAAGTTACTGGTGCGTTTACATATTATCAATGTGCAACCAATTCACAAGATACAACTCACACATCTCGGTTTCAAGAATATAAGATGTTATCGTCTCACTAATCACTCGTAATACAATTCATGGAGTGATCCAAGTGAGCGTGGGTTTAATCCAATGCTCAAATCATATTCATAAGCACTCATGAACGTTGCAGCAAACATTTGCTTATGTCTAATACTTTTCTAGACAATCCACACACCAATTCATGACAGTCTTCATTCATATCTACTTCCAACATATGAACGACTGTGGCCCGTTCGAATAATTCGATTATTCTTAATAAACTCAATTATTCTGGAAGTCAAAACATGCAAAGTGAAACACAAGAATAATACTAATCCCATATGGCCTCAAACCTTTGAGTATAAACAAAACACGTTTTATTTATCACCATATCGATTACTCATTATTTGTCGTTTCGGGTAATCAACTTCTTACTTGAATTATTACACTTGTCCCATGCTCCTAGCATGCACACAATGTTTACCTATGGTTCTTACTTTTGTGAAATAGACAAACTGAACACATTTCCAATCATTCTCATTTTACAACTCCAAATCCATTTTCTTAAGTGTAAGAATATCAAATTCTTGCTACTTATAGAATATGCTAGATTCTAACACTTTATGCAACGATCCTTTCGTAATGTCACTGCACCAAAGTCACAAAGACTATTGCCAATGATATTACAAAGTCCTCTATCGGAGATTGTTACAAGACAATTCCTTAGATATGATGTCTCTCTCTCAAAGTACATTCCTTTGAACATCCTTTTGCATAAAGGTTTCTAATCTAGTCATAGATTTTCAATATTTACTTCCCAATATGGACACGCTTCCATATTTTCCATATGACAACTAATTTCTTAATAGAATCTTATCTATTCGTAATGATGTCGATATTGTCCATCCAATATGGAAACATTTCCATATTTCCAATACTATACTTCCAACTACTCACAAGTGACCAATCCTCGTCGAACTTTGGATTGTCCTTTGATAGTTGTTTAATTATTTTAGTCAAAACCGATTCTAGTCCCTTTTCCCTCTAAATGCACTAGACATTTGGAAAATCTTAGAATGGTCAAACATTAAATCATTTGCAATCGATCCTATACTCGAAGCGTATGGGACATGATGCATAATGTTTTATTTGCTATGTTCTCAAAATTCGAATTGTGAAGAGGAATGCCGTAATCATAATCGAAATTTTAAGAACACACTATGTACCCTTGACTAAATTTATTAACATTCCACAACCTAATCCTTTAGATTTGAAATGAAGAATAATATTCTCTCCCTTAATTATAGCAAAACAACCTTTCAACTCTTACAACTTTGCAAAGTATGACTCTTGTTTTCTATAATTAATATTGCCAACTATGCAATACGTGCCTTAATAATCATACAATCATAACATTTATGCTCCCACTATCATGATGATTATTATAAAACATAACACTTATGCTCCCACTAGCTTCGACATGTATTTATAAACATCTTAACTTTCAGAAAAACAATACTTATTGAATTTCTTAAGTTCATGTTTCTAATACTTAGTGCTTTGATAATCTTTTATCAAGGCTTCTTGAACTTGTACACCTTTGCCTTTGATAGTTGATATGTGTGTCGAAACAATTAAGACTAATTTCCAAACCTCACAATTCAAATTATGGAAAGGGATACCGTAACCATGATTGAATTCGAGAATGCAATTTTACAATCACTATCTTTTAAATTTTTTCTTAGTGAAAGCATTTCCTCACAATCATTTTCATGAAGGAGGAAATCTTATGACACTTAGATTTAAACGGTGTATGTGTTCCTATCCATGTGAATTTGTTAAAACTAAAGTTTACGACAAATTCAAACTCATATGGATCGAACTTCCTTAATCTTGATTTCTTGCCTTATGGTAGCACAGCTGCCCACCACGTCTTCCAAGTAGTTAAGCAGCTCACCTTTTCCTATCAATGTACTTTCCATTGATCAAGGTCCTTGCCTTTTATGCATTCAAATGAGAACTCATAGAACTCACATGCATAATTAACTCGATTGGATTGGCACAGAAACAAAATAATGTCTTCACGATAGGTTGTAAACCTCAACTCGTGTGCTAGTGATGATCAATAAGGTTTATTTGATTTGTTCTTGAAACCTTTCAAGACCATTAAGACTCCCACTGACTCCTTGACATATAAGATTCTCTTGTCAATAAACATTTGTTGACAACCAAATATTCAAGAGTTAGTGTAGCTTTTATTAAAACACTTCATAAATTGGTACTAGTTGGCCTTTGTCTTATTCAAGACATCACAACTTCCCACATTTGATGAATGTTATAAACCTTTAATACTTTTCACTCATTGTCACAATCTTAACTTTAAGACTTGTTATGGAACGAAGTATGATAGACTTCTTGATTTAACCATTTCTTCAATCCTTGACTCCTCTTCTTAAACATACAATTGTACTAAGACTCACTTAGAGGATCATTTGAGATATGGTTCTTAATCATTAAGACCTATCATAAAGCATAAAAGCTACTCTCCCTTCTTCTTAGAATGGAGAAACTTTTATCTTTCTGCCTACATGATTCTTCTTATTCGTTCTACTATTGATCTAAACCCTTTAATCAATTTAGAATTACACTTAATCTAGTAAGTATAATCATATTTACTAAGCCTTTTAGTAAATCATGACGAATATCTTTGTTATTCTTATGGTGAACTTGATCAACACACAACTTTGTGTACTCGATCTCCTAGTCCTTCACTTGACACATTGTCAACGAATTTGTCTAATTTCCAAATATGAAATTTCTCATTCATCATGCAACCAAGTTGCGTGATTCCAAATTTCTATCCAATTGAAACTTTGGGCGATGAGAAACTCTCCCTATTTGGTAAATTCTTGACACTTCCATAATAACATTACTAAGAATCATATCCATTCGTTGTAGAAATATTCGAACATCAATTTTTCATAACGATTTCATTGCAAGGAAGTAAATAAATAAATAAATAAGTCAAAATTTATTTTATTTATAAAAGCAGCGGAAAAATTTGTCCTTACAATGCAAAATCCATTGAAAACTATGTAAAAGAAAATTTCTAACAACTCTATCATAACTATCTAAGCTCAAAATCCAATCTTCAAGTTCATGCGATCGAGATCCATCACTTGTGATTAGATTCATCTTGCTCTCTTATCAAGCTTCCCTTCTTTTTCACCGATCCTTCAAAACATTCAAATGCAATCTTATCACATCATGTATTAAGAATCAATGAATAGGAACTTAATGGAGTTAGATAGTGGATTCTTACCTAAAGCGTAGTCATACTTTTGACTCTCCCATCTCTTAGATCTCTTAGGTAAATAGGGCAACTTCATCTCCAATGCCCCTTCTCTTGGCAATAAAAGCAAATTGACTCTTTTGGAACAACACATGGAACTACTTCAGACATCGCCTTTCTCTTATGATCAAACTTTTCGATCATTGCATGTCTTTCATTGCCATTGTCTATATCCATAGAGGTCTTGAAGGCAGATTCACCAATCAAATTGCTTTTCTATTGCGCCAAACCATTGTTGGTTCAGCAGCAACAAGCATATAGGTGAGATCTATAAGGGTCACGTCGTAGCTCATCATATAGTACTCTCTTGCGAACTTACTATATGAGTTGGGAAGTGACTGAAGAACCCAATCAACAGCCATTTCCTCATAGACAACGGATCCCAACAGTGTGACTTCATCCCTAGGACGTGTGCACACACCGACTTTCCTTCTTTATGTTCACTTGCCAAAAGGGCTTGAGTGATCTTGAACTTTTCAAGCCTTTGAACTTGTGGGTTAGGGAGAATAATTGGAGAGGAGGAGGAAGTGAAGCATGATTTCTTGTTCCTCGATCGAATCGTGGAATATCATCTTCATGTGGAATGCTTGTTCCACGGGATTTGAGAAGACCATAGTTGTCGAACTTTGACATCGGGAGAAAAACGAATTCAAGTTAGTTGATTGATTGAGTCCTTGGTAAATCACCCAAATGAAATTCCAAGGCTAGGACCCAACACAATATCCTACAACTCGGGAGAGGGATGCCGTAACCCAAATTGCAGAACATTTGAAGGTAAGTGAATGACGATTCACTAGTTTCCACCATGTAAAAACGAAAAAGAAATTTAAGTTTTAAATCTATGAAAACTCCTAGATCCTTTGAGATTCATTGAACATTTCAATGGCATGTTTAAATCTCGATATGCCCCTCTAGTTTGCGACTGGGATGCCGAGGATCACAAAGCGGGTGTGAATAACCATGCAAACTACATGGTGCCCTCACATGTTACAATCACCTATTCGATGTGCCGGTAAACCACACACGCTCCACCGAACTATGACAAACATTGAGTCACCCTTTGCTACCTTTGCTTAGAACCATTTAGTGTGCCGGTAAACCACACACGCTCCACTAACGTCTTCGCAAGGGCACAAAGTGTAATTTCATGGAATTGCATCAATTCACTTTTGCCTAAGTAACTAAGATTGGGAATTTGAAAAACATTTAGTTACTTTGTATTTCATTATACTTATAATGGAAGGTTTCGTCCTATCCTACCCGTTCGGCTAACGACCCTCCACTAGTCAAGAGTGCGGTGGGTAAGAGTGGATACCCATTCAATCGCCATTTTATAGGCAATTTCCTTAAACACCCCTTATAGACCAGCTTCGTGAATGAGGCCTACTAACGGTAAGACTGACTTTTACTCATATATATATATATATATATATATATATATATAATGTTAGACTTTTAATGTTATATATAGTATATGGTGTATTTTATACTTTTAAAATACTATGTGGTTAACTTTAACAATTACACTTTTAATTCAATTAAAAGGTTAACCTAAACTTTTATGGATTTATTAAACCTCTTTTAATTATACTCCTTAATTAATTAATAAAATCATAAGGGTGTGATTTGAACTTTTCAAAACATTACTAGGGTTTTAGAATTTAACATTTCTAATTAAACTTTTAATCAACTTTTAAATTCCAAAACTTGAGGGCAAGTTTTGAAACCTTTTTCAAAACATTAGGGTTTTAACTATTTAAATTTCAAAACTTCAAAACCTTTGGGTTCAAATTTAAACTATAAAACCTAAAGGGAAAATTGAAACTATTTCACAAGATAATTCAAATCTAAATTACAAATAATCAAACTTTATCTAATAAAACAAGTGATTATCTAAATTTTGACAATTATCTTCTATTTAGGTAAGGATAATCACATAATAATGAAAAAATTCGGATTTTATCACAAAAACGAGTTTATGGTAATTATCCAAAGCCAAAACAGGAAGAAAATCGCAAAAACGAGCTGTCAGACACTTTGACTCGTCGAGTCTGGGCTTGGACTCGTTGAGTCCAGCTGACTCGGCGAGTTCACCAAGTGACTCGGCGAGTCAAACCTTCAAAACTCAAAAAAATCGATTTTCAGTGCTTATTACGATTAAATATGCATCAATACAATTGAAACCAACCAAGGCTCTGATACCACTGATGGGTTTTGGTCATAAGACATCCTATGTGCTCATACAAACCCTAATGCTTGGATTTAGGTTTCTCTATTGTACATGCTTTGAATCCAAGACTATAAACCCTAATTCTAGCATACATATAATCATATTAACATGAGAATAAGTTTATAGTGTTACCTTGATTGTTATGTAGCAATAACAATCACAAATCTCCTTGAATTGACTTTGGAATGCTTAGAGTCACAAGTGTCACTCCTCTAATGGCTCACAAACACCATAAGCAAATGGAGAAGGTATAAAGAAAGAGGTAAGAGGTTAGAATTCGTATCTAGGACCTCTTGGGAAGGGATACACGAATTCATGGCCCTAGGGGTGTTTATATAGGTGTAGAGATAGGGTTTCAGTCATTATCCTTATCTAGTTGATTATCCATTAAGCAACCAATAAGATAATCCTTGAATCCTTATCATACTCGAATTCTAAGGGATTTACACCTCAAATTCGTTCACCATATATATAAGATAATTCTTACCTTATTTTGTAACTATCACATAATTACAAATCAGCCCCTCTAGTTTAATTAATTACATTTGATCACAAAACTAATTCTTAATTAATTATTGACCAATATTAATTAAACAAATATGATTTCTCCTTTAATATATTATTCTTATAACATATTAATAAATCATATTATCCTCTCTTTCTTTATTCATTTCTCCAATCAAGTTGCTTTGGTGAAGGCAACCCAAAAGGACCATGCACCATCGGGTCAAGTACATACCAAAATAGTTATGGACTTAGACACTAATCCAACAATTTGTTCATGGGAAAAAACTGTAAAAAAGGTACTATTATTCAAGGTCGACTTCAACAAAGCATTTGACTCCATAAACTGAGAATTCTTAGACTCAAACATGCATTTAATAGGATTTGGAATCAAGTAGCGGAAATGGATCAACAATTATTTGGTATTAGCCAAATCTTCAGTTCTCATCAACGGAAATCCCACTAAGGAATTCCTCATCTCCAAGGGGGTAAGACAAGGTGATCCATTATCACAATTTCTTTTTATAATAGCAACGGAGGGGTTGAGTGTGGTGATGAGAGCTGCCTGTGAAAGAGGGGTCTTCCAGGGATTGCAAATCCCTAATGGGGGACCGGTAATCTTGCATCTTCTATATGCAGATGATGCGCTATTCCTCGGTGAGTGGTCTGAACACAATATAAAAAATCTTGCTAGGATTCTCCATTGTTTCCATGTATCCTCAGGCCTTAGAGTCAACTTCAATAAGTCTAGGGTATTCGGGGTGGGGGTAAGTACGCAGGAAGTTACAAGATATGCCAGGCCTTTAGGATGCGAACTGGCCAAACTACCATTCAATTATCTGGGGGTCTCGGTTGGAGAGAACATGAAGCGTATTAAAAACTAGAAGCCGGTAATCGATAAATTTCAAAATAAGCTTTCGAAATGGAAGTCAAAAACACCCTCATTTGGAGGTCGATTAACCCTGGTACAATCAGTGCTTGGGAACATGCCAACCTATTTCCTTTCACTATTCGTGGCATCTCAAGGAGTGATTAACAGACTAGAATGTATCCGAAAATAGTTTCTATGGGGGAGTTTGGAGGGAGCCAGAAAGATTCACTGGGCCTCTTGGGATAAGGTCACTGCATCCAAAGAAGCTGGTGGGCTTGGAATAGGCACGATCAAATCCTTAAATGTGTCCCTTATAGCGAAGTGGTGGTGGAGGCTAAGAGCGGGTCTTCCAACAACTTGGGCAAATGTAATCACAGGTCTCCATGATCTTAACTTGAAACCAAATTGTTACTATGCTAATAATAAACTACCTGGAGTATGGAAGAACATAGCAGGGGTAAGTAAGGAACTAATGAAAAAAGGAATTGCAATTGACCGGATATTAAAGAAACAATCAAGTGGACCAGGAGACTCGTGGATATGTAGTCTTGCCTCCGATGGGAGCTTTACTGTCAAAGTTCTTCGAAAAGTATGGGATCATTGCTCCCCTATCTCAATTGGGCAGTTTGAATGGACTTCTGACATCCCTATTAAGGTAGTGTGTTTTGTATGGAGGGCACGTATGGGCAATATTCCTACTGCTATGGCTCTCTCCAAGAGAGGGGAAAATCTGGAAAACGGTTTCTGTAGTCTATATGGAGACGTACAGGAATGCGCGAATCATGCTCTGGTTCACTGTCAATATGCCAGAACAGTATGTGAATGGATATTCAAATGGTGCGGGGTTCCAACGTCCACTTTCCTATCGGTGTGTGACGTGATAGAATTTGCAACTAATTGGTTCGATTGCCCACTAAGGAGGAAATTACTACTTGGGATCTGTTATGGATCCCTTTGGCATATCTGAAAACCACGAAACAACAGAGTTAAAAAAAAATAGAGGTTGCCCCCCCCCCCCTAAATACGTTGATATTATACAGTCCACTACGTTTCTTTGGATTACAAATAGGAGGAAACAACCATGTCTGGATTGGAAAAACTGGTGTATTAGTTCATTACTTTGCCTGTAATTTTGTTAATTGGCGTCTTGTAACTTTTTTCTTTTTCGTTTTTGTTTTGTTTTTTTTCCTTTGTAACTCTCTTTGCAACCTCTAGTCACTTGCTAGAGGTGTAACGCCCCGATTCTCAGGTATTGCTTATATAAGATTTTTTTTGGGTTCAGCTCTACTCGACCAGTTAGTTGACCTACTCATCAAGTAGCAGCGGGGTGGGATCACGTTTTAAGTGACCTACTCGACAAGTCCATGTTGGGACTCAACGAGTAGGAGCTGGCAGTGGAAACCCTAAATCCTAGGGTTTTCACCTCTATTTAAAGGAGCATTAGCCTCCTTTGGCCTCTTTACAGTCTTTGAGAGCCCCCTTAAACCCTAATTCATGTGTATGTGCCTTGGTGTGGTCTTGAAGCTTGGAAAAGAGGATCTTGGAGGAAGAAAGCTAAGAGTGCAAAGGAAATTGAAGCAAGGAAGGATTAGGAAGCAGGATTTACCTCAGCTAGCATCCTTTAGAGGTATCAAAGTGCCATCCTTACTTCCCTTTTTCCCTTTTGTTGAGTTCTAAGGATTTTTATGGATTTTCAAGTTGGTATGATGAGCTATGGTCTAGATCTGAAGTTGTAACTTCAGATCTGGACCCTCCTTGGATTTGAGAAGCATAAAGTCACAGTTTTGGTTATAATTGAGGTCCCTCTTGGGCATGAAGCCCCATTAAGAACTTAGATTTGGCATTTGGAGCCTTTAAGGCCATGCATACACGTAAAGTGTGCAACTTTACGTGATAAGCATGCCCTAGAAGCTTGGATCTGTGATTTGGAGTCGATGCATGGCTAGTCTGTATGGAAAGAGGACTGAATGGACTTGGCGAGTCGCAAAGTTGACTCGACGAGTCACATGAAGATGGTCGTGAACTCAACGAGTTGATGAACAACTCGGCGAGTCCGATGAAGATCGCCATAAGACTCAACGAGTTGAAAACTCGGCGAGTTGGGTGAGTTTTCTCTTGGATATGTATGAGTGTGTATCCGTCGAGTTGCAAGGAGGGAACTCGACGGGTGACCTTAAGTTTGATCGAGAATCGAAGGAATTCAACAAGTCACTCCGATGACTCGGCGAGTTGGAATGTACTTCAGAGAACTCGGCGAGTACCCAAGGGTACTCGGCAAGTTATGGTCAACATGGACTGTTGACCTTGACTAAGAACTTTGACTTTGACCAGGGGTTGACTAGTGGGTTATGGGGTACCTTATAAGGTTAAGGACTTATGAGCATGTTGTACTATGATCTTAGGTGGTGGAGCCAGTGTCGGGTGATCCGAGGGTTGGAGTGTGTCTTCCGAGTCGACATTTGAAAGGTGAGTTATCCTCACTATATCGATAGGGTCTATGGCACCAAGGCCGGCCCTTTAGTTGTTATTGTTATGGTATGTTGCATGTGGTTATGATCTGTTAGTTCGGAATCGAGGTAGACAGTATGTTATGCTCTTATGGTCCGTAGGGATTGGTGTGTTAGCGACCTGCTAGGTCGGTACTCTAGTTATAGGAGAATTCTATGATTGATGATCAGTGTGACAGATATGTTTGATGTTTATATATATATATATATATATATATATATATATATATATATATATATATATATATATATGTCTGTATATGATAGTATGCGCACATGGTTATTTGCTTGTGGCTGGGTTGAGGTGGTACTGCTTTGTGTTGTAGGCCAATATACCCTATGAGCGGTCTGGGGAGACTGTAGGCCCACGTGGAGGACCAGTCATACCGAAGGCTCGGGATGGATTCAGACATACTATAGGCCCGGTAGGGCGGTTCAGTCAAGCCAATGGCCCAGTATGCATGTTGATTGAATTGATTATTACTGTTGTGGTATTGTCAGTGTGGTATTGGTATTTTGGAGGTAGCTCACTAAGCCCTCGGGCTTACAGTTTTCAGTTTATTGTTTCAGGTACTTCAGGAGATCGTGGAAAGGCGAAGACGTGACCGTATCGCTCCTCATCCTTATGTTATGATTTTTGGGACACTCTGATGGAAAATGATTTGAAAAAATTTGTAAACAATGCTATGTGGTTTTTGTTTATGATTGAAAAAGTTTAAATTTGGCGTAAAATTTATGGTTGTTACAAGAGGTCTGCCTTTGATATCTATTTGCCGGTTCCAAAAAAAGTATTAACTTAGAGTAAGTTCTTTATTGGGCTAGGAGAGCGCTTTATATAGCCTAAATTACAACTGAAAATACCAAGTTTGGTTCTCAAAATGATTATGGAAGCAGTGTATTATATTGTCAAAGGAATTCAGATATGGATGAATTGGAATCGGTTATGTGTTTTAAACACTGAGTGAAATCTATTTTATGTTTAGTTTACAGATTTGTTAAAGGAATTTAAAGGTAAATAATGTCATATTACCAAAATACATATTTTTATTGACGTGGGTGTGGATGTAGATTTGGGTATGGGTGCATTGTTTGCATGCATGTATCATAAGTTTTTGAAAAATCTTTCATTTTTAACTTTTTTATCCAGTAATCAGTGGGTCATTATTTTTGTAACACCCGGTTCAAGGTATGCATCTAAGTTAAGTTAATTTTATTATTTTTACCCTTGGACTCAACGAGTTGAAGGCCTAACTCGTCGAGTAAGAACGAATCCGGGTCGGGGACTAAGTAGCCTACTCAACGAGTCGGAAAACTAACTCGGCGAGTAGGCGTTGTTTGATGGAAACCCTAATTGCAAGGGTTTGCCTCACTATTTAAAGAACATAGCGCCCCTGTGGCCTCCCTTATCACTCCCTTAACGTACAGAAAGCCCTAAACCGCCACCCTTGAGCTTTGTGAGTATTTGAGTGCCATTTCTTAAGTTATGTTGTGTGATTGAAGTTGGGTGAAGAAAAGGAAGAGGGAGGATTCAAGAGGAGATTTCAGATCCAGAATCATCACCATCTTCTCGTTATTTTCTGGTAAAAAAGCTTCACACTTGACTTACGATTTCCTAGATCTTCTTATGGTTATTTTGGGCTTTGAAACTTGATTCTTGGGATTTGGATGTCACATGCTGATACACCTTCAGATCTGGACCTTGAAGGGTCCTCATGGCATAAAGGTGCCATCTTTATGGCCATGAGAACCCCCATGCATGTTGTTAACCCCCATTTTGACCCTTTAAGCTCAAATGTTTCATGCAAGCACGTAAAGTTTATGACTTTACGTGATATATCGGTCTTAGGAGCCCATATCTACCTTCTGGTTTAGTTTTTCACATCATAAATTAACTTATGGGCTTGTTCATTCGTAGACTCGACGAGTCAGTTTTGGGACTCGGCGAGTCATGGGTTGACTCCCCAAATCAGTTCGGGGTTCAAAGGAACCCAATTAAGTTTAAAAGACATTAGATGAGTCCAGAGGAGTGACTCAACGTATTAGGACATAGCCATGGTCTGGAAACCATGGGACTCGGCGAGTAGAAGAACACACTCAGCGAGTCCAAGGCAATCTCCCAACCCATGAAGATAGACTCAACAAGTTGTTCATACAACTCGGCAAGTCACAGACTGGACATGTTCATATGATGAAGATAGACTCGACGAGTTGTTCATACAACTCTGCGAGTCAGTTAAAGGTTGTCCCGATATCATGAATAAAGGAGAACACATCAAGTTCTTGCTAAACTCGGCGGGCAGAATCGGGTTGAGGACAAATGAAGGACTAGGGGACTTGATGAGTTGGCAGGCTAACTCGGCAAGTCAGGTCAACTGGAAGTTGACTTTAACTAGGATGTTGACTCTAGCCAGGGGTAAAATGGTAATTTTGCCCTGACAATAGTTATCAGTGTTTTGACTAAGTGTCATGGTGGAAATTATAGCCGGGGAGTCACCAGAGAAGCAGTCAAACATTTCCCGCTTAGTATTTCAGCAGTCAGCTACGCGAGGTGAGTTTCCTTCTAGTAGGAGCGGGTCTACGACCACAATTCCAGCCCATTTAGATGATAGTAGTTCCAGACTTGGGTCCAATGTCGGGGTAGTCCCGAGAAGTAGTTTGTATGCTTGATGTATTTGTGATTCATGCATGTATATGTGATTATGTTATATGTTACGATCATGTTTATGCTATGTTCAGTTTATTCCGGACTTCGGTCCGATGCAGCGGGTAAGGCCCTAGTTATTCCGGACTTTGGCCCGATGCAGTGGGCGAGGCCCTAGTTAGTCCGGACTTCGGTCCGATGCAGCGGGCAAGGCCCTAGTTATTCCGGACTTTGGTCTGATGCAGTGTGCGAGGCCCTAGTTAGTCCGGACTTCGGTCCGATGCAGTGGGGAAGGCCTAATATTTGCTTTTTATATTAGTGTATGATGTGTGGTAGTTTGGGGGAGCTTACTAAGCTTCGTGCTTATAGTTTTCAGTTTTGGTTTCAAGTACTTTCACTAGCAAAGGGAAGGGCTCGGGATGATCGCATGACACACACCACAGTCTTCAGCCTGGGAGTTTTACTCTGATATTTTGATATGACATTTGACATAAGATTTGATATGTGATAGAAATTGTGAGATTTTGAAACACATAGTTTATGATTTTATACTTTGGTAATGAAATGATGGTTTTAATGATGTTTTAAAAACAAAATTTTTTGGGTTGTATTTTTGGGATGTTTCACTTTTTTTTTAAATGAAAGGTTTTCTAAAAGTTTATGGTTTTTACCTAAAAAAAGTTAAGGTTTTTGCCAATGTACCAAACTATAGCATCCAAAATTTTGGAGGTATTTAAATTAATGTATTTTGGTTTTTGGATAGTACCGCGTCATGGTGAAGGCATCCCACAACGTTGTGATGGGCATTGTGCCATGGAT